TGCAAAGTGCTCCTGGGGGCTGGGGAAGGCAGAAAAGAAACGAAAAACGGGGCAATTTTTATTTGTTTTGGGGGGCCCCTCCAGCTCCCAGGAGCACTTCGCAGGCCTCTCAAACTCTCCACATGCCCCATTTTTCACAAAAAATGAGGTGTGCAGAGGGTTTGAGAGATCTGCATAGTGCAAAAACTTTTTTAAAATTTACCTCTTCAAAATCTTGGTGCGTCTTATACTCTGGTGTGTCTTATACCCCAAAAAATATGGTAGGTAACATCATCAGTAGAATATAAACCACTAGACCATGGGTGTCAAACTCATGGCATCACGTTGTTAATGTATTACGACGTTTTTTCCCTTCACAGAGCTGTGGTGGGCGTGGCCTGCGTGTGACGCATCCAGCCCATGGGCCGCTCATTTGACACCCCTGTACTAGAATTTAATGTGAGATCAAACCACATTCCTTTCTAGCACTGATGAGGTTACCTAGTTTGGGTAATGAAACATCTGCAATAAAACAGTCTTGGAGAGCAACAAGAACCCTCATTTTAACTCTGAGCTACAAATATTCTCCTCTCTCGCTTAGAAAAAGATGTCAGAATCCGAAGAATGTAGAAAATAAATCAACCTCAGATCTGAAATGGAAGTGTTTCCTTTGCTGTTTGTCGCGACGTTTGGGTTGTAAGACTTGGAAGTCTTCCCAGATGATGCTGGGAAGTCCTTTGCGCTTTCACCAAATTGCTAAACCCAGAAATTCTCCTACATTTTTCCCCTACCAAATCTCATTCAATTTAGTGAAGTTGAATTTGCTTTAGAAATTCTTTTGAGGAGAGAGAAGAGCATTTTGCAGAAAGACTCAGAAATGGCAGCTGATGGTTTCTGCCTTTTGTTTGTTGTTAGTTGTGAAGTCGTGTCCGACCCATTGCGAACCCATGGACAACATTCCTCCAGGCTCTCCTGTCCTCTACCATCCTCTGGAGTCCATTTAAGTTCATGCCTAATGCTTTAGTACCTTGTGTTTAGTTATGGTCAAAAGTGCCGGTGAAATTCTCTATACTATCAATTTATCCTGCAGCTTCTCATACTTCCATTAAATCCCAAGGGAAAAGTCTCATGAGAGAATCCCTTCTCTCATTGGGATTTTTCAATAATAGTACTACCATCGTTGTTAAGGAGGAATCTTACCATGGAAAAATTATGGGAGATAAACTAATCAAGGAGAGGAGCAACCTAGAACTAAGAAAATATTTACTGATAGTTAGAACAATTAATCAGTGGAACAATTTCCTTCCAGAAGTTGACTGATCCAACACTGGAAGTTTTTAAAAAGAGATTGGACAGCCATTTGTCTGAAATGGTACAGGGTTTCCTGCCTGAGCAGGGGGTTGGACTTGAAGATCTCCAAGGTCTCTTCCAATTCTGCTGTTCTATTGTTCTCCTTCCCTGAAGAAACTTAGAGGCTCCATCACTTAATATCTCTTCCTGCATGTTCAATGGAAAATTTCCTAAGCCATTTCCGCTTTAACTTCAGTCTCAGCCAAAGTGAAATTATAGTTGTGAATCAGCACAATATGCTAAGCCACAATCAAATCTACTCACATTATGGCTCTGCACATTGTGTGAATCAGGCTAGAGTCTAAAAGAAGGAAAGAAAATGTAAATTGCGCCCCACTTACTGCTAGTACAAGAAGTCCTCAATTTACAACCACAATTGAAACAAACATTTCTGTTGCTAAGCGAGACTGTTATTAAGTGTGTTTTGTCACATTTTACGACCTTTCTTGTTAAGTGAATCTCTGCAGTTTGTTAAATTTGTAACACGGTTGTTAAGTGAATCTGGCTTCTCCATTGATTTTGCTTGTTGGAAGTTCACAAAAGGTGATCACATGACCTCAGAACATCGCAATCATCAGAAATATTAGCCAGTTGCCAAGGATCTGAATTTTGATCATGTAGCTCATCAAATTTGCAGATGACACTAAACGGCAGGAATAGCCAACACCCCAGAAGACAAGCTCAGGATCCCAAAATATCTTGACAGACTTGAACAATAGGCTAACAAGGCCCTATACAACAAAATAAAATTTAATATGGAGAAAAGCAAGGTTTTTCTCCATATTAGGCAGGAAAAACCAAAGATACAAGTACAGATTAAGCGAAACTTGGTTCAAAAACAGTAACTGGGAGAAGGACTTTGGAGTCTTAGTGATGATCATTTAAACATGAGGTAGCAGTGTGCGGCGGCAGCCAAAAACGCTAATGCAATCCTTGGTTGTATAAACAAAGGCATAGAGTCAAAATCATGTGAAGTATTAGTACCACTTTATAAATCCTTAGTAAGGCCACTGTCAGCTTCTGCTTTGCTGTTGCTTCAGCTGCCATGAAACGGGAGGGGGGGGGCTTGGATTTGGGAGGGGTTAATTGA